CCCCAAAACCCCAAAACCCCAAAACCCCAAAACCCCAAAACCCCAAAACCCCAAAACCCCAACAGGTGGTTTTAGAGCTGAAAAGAGGTATGCAATACTTAAACATAAATTAAAGCGTGTCAGAGCGGATTTGGTGGATGCTGACAGAAGGAATTTATGAGGTAGGCTGGTCGTTTAGTTGGAGCGAAATTGTAGGTGGGGTATTAAGAGGAGGAAGATCGTAAGGATCAAGCGCTGGGATAGATTTTAGTTCAAATTAGAAGCCATTTTTGATTTTGAGGTTTATGGTTAGAGTAAATCAATGTATTTTATTACAGATTCCTTGAGTTTGTTCATTTTGTTATAAATTTATGAGAAGACTTTAATTCGTTAGACAACCTCCACGAATTTAGATCTACCAAGATTATTTAAATATTGGTATACGATGTCTGAGTTTGCAGCTATGCATTCATTCACCCATTTATTGAAGTTGTAATAAGAATGATTCGAAAATAACCAGTTCGAGAAATAGATGACTTATGTACTCATCGTAGTTCATAACTAGTGAATCCTTCTTGACCTGTCCTTGTGAGAAAGGGTTCCATATATAGTTTTAAGAGAGTCTTCAGGCAGAAGCATCTCCTTCAAGGTTGAAGTTCATAAATAACTCTCTTTCAGACCTAGAGTCTGAACTGTTATTTGAATAAGATTCTAATTAATAAGGGTGTTTTATGCTAATTGGTGGACAAATTCCAACCGAAGCTAGTAACAGACAAAGGAAGAGCTTTGGCACTATAATCCAGCTCAGAATTAATAGTTTAGCTTATAAACTGCCCTCTCATTGCTTCCTAAAAAGTTAGAGGAAGTTCTTTGGTATAATAAATTGGGTTCTTTTAATCTGAGACAATATCAGAGCTTCCCGGGATTATTTATAAACCTCATTTCAAAATATGCCATGACCAGCATTTAATTATCAAGAAAGGATGAAATTCTGATGAAGTAATACTTCAGAGTCCAAACTCTTTGCTAAGGCTCTAGAATAAGGTTTTATAATTAGAGCATCAGAAGTTCTTTCCGCGGTTACTAGAACACAAAAGGAATTCGTAAACCTTGAATTTTATACTAAAATTGAGATTTTCAAAATTTTGCAGTTTTTGGAGATCAATTCTATTTTATTGCTGAACGATATTGTACCGACCAGTAATTCGTCCTTCTAAAAGATGCAGAATTTGGTATTAGAGAGACTGGAGATACTAAACGACCCCTGTAAACAAGAATATGTTCTTAACGGAAATTTTACTAAAATTTAAATTATCATCTGGTTTAATCACTATGATCCATTCAGTTTGAATTTCTGATACTTTGAACTTGGCTGTCGACACTTTCATAAAAGTTTTTGATTATTTTCTTAAGGTATTCTCTATCTTTTTCTGGGTCTTCCTTTATCATTCCGCTGATTTCTATCTCGCCTTGCCTTGCTCTTCTTATAAAGTTTAATAAAAGATATCGTATTTCAGGGATGCGGACCACTTTCTTCAGTTTGATTTCCGAATAATTCTTAACTAAATTCTTGAGAAGATCAATGATCTTCTTCAACAACTCTAATTTCTCCTTTATGTTAGGATCGCTGCTTTCCTCAATCATCGAATCAATGATCTCTCTTGAGTACTTAGGGAAGAGGAAGGAGCTGAGTAGGAAGGGGAACTCTGCGCTCCTCTCTAGTAGCCCTCTCATACCTCAATAATTCAGCATGCATAACTTTAGCGATCTTACTCTTTCATCTCTGTTCTTATGCTTTGAAGTAAAGTTGGTAGCTTCTGTGAAGTCTTTTGTGTAGTAATTTTTGAATTTTCTTAAAATAAACTTGTAACAGACATCTTTCCTGTAACGATATGGGCTAGGTTTGGATGAACAATTGTTAGAATTCTTTTCATCTTCCTATTGATTATTAAGATAAGTCACACAAAGTCTAGAGGGAGAAAAATACTTACAAGTTCATCAAATTTTTCCTTAATTTCAGATTCCTTTTTCTTTATCATTTGGTCTTTGAATTTTTTGATCTCAGTATTTGAACAGAAAGGAAATTCACTCTGTGAAATCTTAAGAGGGGTCTCACTCTCTGGGTGTTCTAAACCAAATATATTAGCTTATTTGAAGTTTAATAGAGCAGAGAACCATGAGCCGTTTTCTCAGAATTTGTCTTAAATTAGCAAAATCCGAGATCTAGAGTTGATCCTCTTGAATTTGTCAAAGAAAATCCTCATAATTTAAAATTTTTGACCAAAAGCGGTTTACATATATGGTAAAAAAAAGATAGTAATCATTAGTCATGGCTCACTGATTGAGGTATTAAGACAAGGAAAGAGATAATTTCTCATAGTCATAAATTAAGAATTTTATACTATGATAAGAGCAACCATATGAGCTTCAAATTTTAGATAATGGAAGCATGGCTAGAGCCATTTCTTTGGCACTTGATATCCTTTAATTAAATCAAAAATTTATTGCCGTAAAAAGAAGACTTGCATCATTTGTAGATATAGCTCTTTTAATCACTAAATTAGCTAAATATCTAGTTTTAAGAATAATTTCTTATTATACTTTACTCGTATCTCAGAATACTAATAATTTTTAAAAATTAAAGAAATAATAATCATCCTTACTTGGGCTCTGGAGAATGAATTTAAGCCTATTTAGACATAATATAGTTCTAAAGTTGCTCTCCCAATATTAAATTTAATAGAGTACAAATTTTGTTAAATTTTGCTATGTTAAACTATCATTCTCTTCAGCTTCCATTAACTATTGCTATGATCATAGACAGCTTCTTAAGGCTAACAAACCTCTTCAAATACCTCCTCAATTAGAATGATCTTGGTCCTTAATATTAAGCTTTAACTCTATGAAGCCTTCTTTTTCTTGCTACATTAAATTTTGAGCATCGCAGTAAGATAAGGCAGTTAGAAAGCTGTTTCAACTTATCCAGACTTGATTTAAAAAGGCTGATAATCAAACAGCTGGGCCCTTTGTACGAATATTTAGCTTGCTTATTTTAGGTTTTGAACTTAAAGAGTCATCTCTCTAATTATAATAGACCTTAGTATAAGTACTGCTAATTGGACCGTAAAGAGGTCATTATTAAGCTCATATACAAAAGTTCATCTTATTCTTAATATTCAGCTGTGACAGAAAGTATAGCACTCACATATTTTAGGACCAATATTTAAAAAATAGATATCTAATGTACGCCACAAATAAGGTTTTTGGAAAATTTATTCTGGGTTTTCAGATACTTCCTCAAAATTTTATTTGTTTTTAACACCTGGTATCAAGTTGATATCTGCCTTAGCTAGCTAAAATTGCTCAATAAAAGAAAGAAGGGTCACTAAATCAGTTAAGTATAGCATTATTTTCTCTTCTAAGTCTGAAATTTCTTCAAGAGCGAGGATGAAAATGCTCATTTTAATTGGAATTATCGACTTCCAGCATCTATGAGGATGCCTAAAAGTCTAAATTTAGGAATGGAAGAATTTTAAAAGAGAGAGAGCTGGCTGGGTTTATTTTTAATCGTACCATTTGAAGAACATTTTTGAGCTTTGAAAAAATTCTCAGAAATATCTCTATCTTAAAACTTTTCAAAAATAACTAAGTATCGAGATCTTTTAGAGAGTAAAATTTTAAAGCACTAGATCGTCTTTAAGAGAGAAGTAACCAAAGGGATAACTTTATAAGAAGTTATAAAATTTCCAATCGACTTTTCACCTTGTTCTAGTACTCTCGCAGGCTCTGAGATAGATGCTCTGAGCGCCATAAACTTGAGACTATTAATTATTTCTGGGTAGTAGAAACATTTCATAATTTTTGTATAAATTATGACTGAAGAACAGTTCTTTATTAAAATTTAAGTTTGAATTCTCTTTATATACTTTTACATGTAAAAATTCATATTTGAAAGAGGAATTAAAAAAATATGTAACAGAAGTGCCAATGCTATGCTTATTATTTCAGAATACTATGAAGATATTAATTTCAGTATAGATATGACCTCTAGCTGACAAGAGATATGCCTTTATTAAGGGGAAAAGAAACGACAGTTACAGGTCAGATTTTGGACATGCTTGCCAAGTTAAGCTCAAAGCATTAAGGATGAGCGATTTAAAATTGTAATTGATTTTTTCAACTTAAATGGAAAAATCACCCAAATTTTCACTTGCATTAAAAATGCTATATCAAGGGAGATTGAGGAGCTTATAATCTTTCCAAAATATGTTCAAACTCTTAAAACAAAAAGCTGTAGCTCTGTATATCATAAACTATTACTCTTAGTCCCTACAGGAGCCTAACAGAATTTTTTCACCGTCAAATTAGCTTAAACCTCATGAAAAGTACTTTTCACTAATATCAAAGTATGAACTGGCTTCTTGCCATTAGGCCATTTAATTCTATGCCTTCTTCTTACCTTTTTTATGAGGACTGTTCATCTAAAGACCACTGTTAGGCTGATTGGCGCTTTTGGGAATCCCAAAAGTGTGAGTAACGAACATGTAAATGGTGATCAAATTACCTGCATCTGTAAACTAATTTATATTTAATAAAATTTCAATTCTCATGCTTTATAAAGGGGTTTTGGGGTTTTGGGGTTTTGGGGTTTTGGGG